TTCCCAGATGGATCCCCAAGCCAAGCCTGACAGCCTGCGGCCCGCTCAGCGGGAGGGGAACGGGCTTTGGGCTGAGACCCCCGCCTCCATCCCCCCCAACCCCGGTCAGCATCCAGTAACTGTGCAGCACCTCCGATGTGACGTGCACTTTGCCTGTCCCGTTTCATGCCATCTCAAACAACTCCCCGAGCTGGGGACCATTCCCGTCCTACTTTCCAGGCAAGCACAGTGAGGCTCAGGGTGGTAGAGTCACTCGCCCAGGTGACGGGCTAGGGCTTGGCCTGGGCTTTCACTGATGATCCTGGACCCTGATGTCGCAGCACAGAGGCTACAACCCGGCTTTGCTGGCAGACGGCCTGGCGGTGGCTCCTGACCCCATCACTTTGTCACCTTCCAGCAGTCTGGGCTTCAGAGATGGACTGAGCTCCCTGCCTCAGTTTCCTCTTCTATGAGATGCAGGCAGTGTGAATGCCTCCCTCTTGGGGGTCACTGTGGGGGGTCAGATTAGCTTTTCGCCACGGCTGACAGTCTGTGGGGAAAGACTCTTAGCATCTAACAGGCGCTCTCGAAGGCTGGCGGTTCCAGCGCGTTCACTGCTGTGCGTTGCCAAGCCTCACCTGTCACCCACCTTCTGTCTGTGAAATAGAGCTTGTCTTTCTGTCTCTCCATGTTCTTGCGCGAAGGGTGGGTGATGACAGTCACCGTGAGGGTCACTGGGAAGAGGGGAGATGTTCCAAGTAGCAAGTGTCTGCAGAATCCTCTGGACCTGCACACTTTTTATTTCAAATTTCACACTGTCTCAGATGCCCTTCTCAGTCCTTGCCTGGAGCACGGTTCTCTCTGATAATAGTCGTGTAAGCGACGTAAAATCAGCATATGGAATATGGCCATCGACCCAGAGAGCACTTATGGCCATTATAAGTGCCGGTACTTGGGGGTGAAGCTGGCAGAGGACGCCAGGTGACGCCTGGTGGCCTTCTCCTTTGAAAAGAAAAGGGAAATGGCTTCCATTTAGGCTGAAGAAACTCGGACAAAGAAGAGAAGGGAGAGGTTTAATAGGAAGTTATTTTTTAAAATCGTGTTTGCTCGGGGGCCTCACATTCAAGTTGTGACTTAATAACAAAAGAAATTTAGTTGGCATTTGGCCGAGTTTAAGTTGGCATCGGCTGCTTCCAACAGGGCATGAGGAACAGGGGTTTCGCACTTGCCCCCGTGGGCTTTTCATCCCCTGACAGACAGGGGTGCCGTCCTGCCATGGGGGGGCCAGGGCGGGAGCTCAGGGCATCTGGATGACGGTTCCCACTGCAATGGGCTTTTCTCATCAACCCGCTGTCGCACCCGCCCCCTAAGTCAAAGGAAACCGCACGGACCTGACCCAGGCGTGGGGCTGCGGGGCAGATGGACATCTCCTGGCTTTGCTAATTGGGGTTTTCTCCTCTTCCCAATCAGGTTCTGCTCTTCGTCTGAGCAGACGAGATAAGAAGGAAGCTGGGGCTTCCTAATAAGCCGCCTGGCAGGGCTGCAGGTCATTCCTAAGTGACTGGCCTCAGCAAGAAGCCTTGTCCATTTGGCAGTGAAATCGGTGTGATGTCCCCAGGAAGGCTGGAGGTGAGTGTAAGCCCCTCTGAAACCTGGCTGCGGATGTGGCCTTGAGCTGCGATGTCGCTGTTCCTTTCCTGGGAAAGAGTGTCCTCCTGAGCCCCTGCCCCGTTTGTTCATCAGACTTAGGAATGCTCTGGTGGCCAGTCTGTACCCAAAGCCACAACTGCTTCCGGAGAACAAAAGAAGCACCGAAGATTAAGGACAGGTGACTCTTTTTATCGCATGCTTGGAAATTGTCAAAATCAAATCAGACAACATAAAATGGTACCCTTCTTTTGTGTCTTTTCATCAGAAGGACTTGGGAAAAAATGATGTATCCGCATTTGGGATTTTTTAATATATACAGAAATGATACCAAAAAGAAGCGCTTCAATGAATTTGTAAATTAAAGCAAGAACATGCTGACTTTAGAATTTTAAAGCCTCCACACATCTAACACTCCAAACCCAAACTAATAGGCAACACTGATAATGGGGTTTTTTTCCTATCTGAATATAAGAAAGTATTATATGTTATATTGACATTCGGGCAAATCTTTCCCTTATAAGGTGTCTGACATAAATAGTTTTTATTATGTAACTCAATGGAAGGAATACACACATTTCTTAAAGGTCCCAGCTGCTTTTGTTATCATCCGAGACATAAAATTGGAATCCCAGCTTCCAGTATCAAATTTTAGCACAAACCCTATAAAATGTATTTTGTCAGAATGTGTCAGAACCCCTAAGCTCTTTTTGGCCGAACAAACTACAGCTGGTGCTTCTTCCTTAAGGTTGAGAGTCAACTCTGTGTCCTCTGGGTTGAGGCAGTAAATTGGCCCAGTTTGCACCCTGCTGCAGGGCTGGCCTGGGAAGGCGAGGGGTTAGATTAGCTGTGTCCCAGCAGCTCGTCCGGGTGACACGAGCCTGCCGGGCTGAGCCCAAGGCCTGGAGATAGGACCCACCGGCAAGTATGCAGGGAATGTTTTTCCTCGGACTCTATGGAGGCACACAGACCATGGGGATTCTGTCCGCGGTGACAGCCTTAACATTTGCCAGAGCCCTGGACGCCGCTGCAGAAATGGCATCGCCCACCCGGAAAGTGAGAAGGTAACGTTTATTTTTGTATTTTTTTCTCTCTCTCCCGTATACAGACTGTAGAAAGACCACCAAGCGTGGGCCTTTTTTTTTTTTTTTTCCCACCGTGATGTACAATTCACATTTGTTAATCAAAAAAAAGTGCCCGAGGTCATCCACCTAGACTTTTTTTTTTCCCCTTCTTCTTAAACAGGAAACGGGTTTCAGATGTTTATATGTTAAAAAGTAAGGCTGCTGATCTATTTAGCCATTTACCAGACCCTGGCTAACTCTCTCTTACATTTTAACGTTCAGACCTCATAGAATGACATTCACTTTTATCCCTCTCGTCATTTAGAATTGAAAAAAAAAAAATCTCTCTAGAGTCACCTGCTTTTGGGGGAGCAGTTCCAGCGGACTTTAAAATAAATGAGTCGGGTAGTTTAGTGAAATTGTGCCCTTAGTAGCATTGGTGCCACGTAGAGTGTTCGAGAATTCAACACTCTCAGGCAGTTCATTAAAATAGGCCATGGACACACGTATTTTCATGTGTCTGTATCTGCAAACGGGCGTACGTTGAGGCATCTTAGATTCAGAACAAAGATTCACAAAGGCACACCGTTACGAAGTCTAGAGCAACGGCAAAATTCGTCCTTCTACGCATTGGACCTTTTCCTTTGTATCAGTGTGATATTTTCCACAGTTCTCGATATTAGGCTGTGAGTGGTCACAGAGAACAGCCCTTTTCCAAGGGGGTCCGTGGTCATTTGAGAGGACTTCAACCTGATATCTGGAAACAAAGGTTTTTGTTTTATTGCTGGAATTTTTTTCCCCCCTCACCCCAGGGCTGCTAATTTTAAACAGTCACTGCTGGTGAAAATATCTCCCTGTTTAGCATGGCAAATCAGTGATCTTTTTCTATGTTGGGGAGGTTTACATATCTATAATATGGGAGAAAGGAGTACAGGGAGGGGAGATGTGAATGGTTTTTAAGTGAATTTGTTAGTATTCAAATCACCGGCTTTGAAAAGACTATTTTAAACGTAGAGGTCAAAGCAGAAGGAATTCTATCACTTGCTAAACCCGGCTCTGATGGCCACCAGCGTTTGACCAAATGCTTTATGTCTGCAGACTGTGTAAGGAGGCAGAACGATGGGTTTTGGAGACATTTCGTCAAGGAGAGAGAAACAGCTAAATTGAAAGGAGCTCTTAGAACCAGCCCAGGATTCTCTGGATCAGTAAGAGAGGTATTCGTAAAAATGAAAACAGAGACAAAGAAGGATTCTCAATTTCCCTACAATCATCCTCACCTATCTCCTACACAAATATATAGTTCTATGTGGCAAAAATACATGTATTTTCTTTTTCATCCAGAGTTATCAGAAGTGGCTGGAGAAATGATGGATACAAGTGTAAAAACGGATATGTAATAAAAAGCCAAACTTTTAAAATAGGGCTGGGATGGGTATGATAAAACAATATTTTAGATTTGTGTTTTTGACAAACAAACAAACAAAAAAATCTTGATTTTTCGGGGCATGTTTTAATTCGGCATTCGGATGACACAAGGTGTTAGGAACCCCCAGCGCAAACCCAGGGTCAAAACACAAAACACGCGGTCACATCAGAATGTGAGCAGAAAGTATGTCTAATGTGAAAGAAGCTGCTACAAAGCGGAGCCTTCAAAACGTAAGCACCCGGCAGAGGCCGATCCGTGTGGAACAAATCCACACCAACCACAGGGTCGCTCTCCAGAACGTGTCTGTGGTGCTCGAGACCTGCATCCCGACTGAGGAAAGCACCTTTGGTTTGGGAAGCCCCGAGGAGCTAAAACCGCAGTGGGGAAGCCTGGTGCAGCCGACACGAGTCTGACTGAGGATGGGGATACCGGGAATCTCCTTCTTCCGGGCAGGACAAGAGGTGCCGGGCTCAGAGGGTCCTGGGCCCTCCTGCGTGAAAACCACAGGAGACGAACCACTCTGGGCCGGTAATTTCTTTTTTAAAACGTCTCTTTGGCCCCCAGACCGTTATGAACAGAAAAATGCCGGAGTCCGCAAGTCCATGGCAATCACCGTGTCAGCTCGGAGCCGAGATGTTTCCCAAATGAACACCTGGGTGATGTAAATCACCCCAGGGGTAAACACTTCAGGCCTGGATGTGGGCTGGGCGGGGCGCACCCTCCCACCCCGCCGGGTCCATAAACCAGGCGCTGGCCTGCCCCTTGTAAACGCTCCTTTCACCGAGAAAGACCCCCCTCCCTGCCGGTCTGGGAGCAGATGCCTGCATGGAGGTCGCTCAGATAACGGCCAGAGGCACTCCCACCCTCCCCACTGGCCGACTTACCCTGCGCTGCTCCTGGGGAGTGAAGCTGTCAGAGGTTTACGTCCTTATGAATCGCTTTACGGGGCTACCGGCTTCAAGGTGGAAATTTTCGAGGGCGGCATGTAAAGATAAAACCTAAGAAGAAGGTTTGTGTTTTAATATCACGATAGCAAAATCAGAACCAGAATAGTAACGATAACCAGAAGGTCTATATGAAATGTCCCCGAAGTCAGTTGAAATCAAAGCGACATTTCCTCTTCTAAAACAGGGTGAATTAAGATATTAAACTCTCTCTCCTCTGCAGTGTCTTAAAATCCCTGACTTTTAATGGACGGCCATTTGGTGTATGCGATTGTTATAAAAATCCCCGACTGGGGGGGAAGTAGATGGCAGATGGCAGACGACATCCCCCCAAAAGATCACCAACTTGAGAGTTTCTTTACGTTCTGATGCTCTAACTTAAAAAAAAAAAACTCCTTGTAATTATCGGGCTAGGAGGAGTCTTTTAAATGATATCGCCTGTCTTCAGCCAGACAGACGTGAGGACGCGCAATGTAAACATTATAAAAGCAGCCCGCAGTACAGACTTTTTATGGCTCTCTTCCTTTCTACCCGCAGCTCGAATTAGAGAAACACAGAGAATTCGAGAGGAGTTATTCTGCCCTCAGGACCAACCTTGCACCAAAGAAAAATAACCCAGAGAAATTATTCTGCAGCCCAAAACGAAGCCCAGATCAAATGGTCGCTGATCAGAGCAAATGTTTAAATTGGATAAGTCAAATCGAGCATTATTAAATAAAGCTTGTTTAACGTGTCTCGAACAGAAAATGTCTTTTGAAGAGCGGTGTAAACCTGATATGAGGACTCTGGCTGGGTGCACATCGTGGGCTTGGTCGGTGTGCATGGGAATCTGTGTTCTTACGACAGAAAGCGTGATATCCTCCCTCCACGATTTTTCCATGTACAAAATGAAAGCAGAAAGGCTTTTAGGTAGCTCTTAGAAACTGTTAACGCAAGATAATAAATAGGAGACGACTGACCCATGTTTTAACGTTTATTCGTCAGACAAAGCTCAGCTTGGCTACCGCGGTGACAAGGGGGACAGCGTACGGGGCCGAGGACGCCCGCGTGTAGGGTGGTATTTTCCCATCACCAAGGTGCAGTGGGGTAGCAGCTGACCCGTGCTCTCCCCAAACCGAAAACCAGTCCCTAATGAGTTTTACAATATTTACATTTTCAATTTTATTTATAGGACACCAGATGTCTACATTCAGAAGAAAAAAAATCATTTGGAATATAAGATGCCACCCCTTCCGCACATTCGATGGCGTCTTAGGTATTTGTGTGTCCCCACCGTCTCGGAGCTGGGGTTGGTGGTCTCCCCAGGGGTTAGGGAGGTGGTGGCAGGGCATGTGTCCCCATTCTCTGCGTGACCACAAGCACGTCTTTATTTCTGGGCCACGTTTTCTCCTTCTGTGAAAAGGGAAGGGGCTGGTAACGTGCTGGGGTGAGTCCCAACGCTGAGATTCTTGGCACCTCTCAAGGACCACCGTGTCCCTCCTGAAGTTCATAAGGGAACGGGGCGTCTGAGAAGCAGCTCTGAGTGGACCTAAGAGAGCGGGTTCAGAGCCTCCCAGGCCACAGCGTGAGCTCGGGTCTGAGAATCACTAAATGCCTTTCTTCCCTCACACTTAAAGCTGGTCTCAGAGCATCCAGCCCACACAAGGGGTGACTGAAAGACGCTTCAAAAATACAAGCTGGGGGCTTCCCTGGTGGCACAGTGGTTGAGAGTCTGCCTGCCAATGCAGCGGACACGGGTCCGAGCCCTGCTCTGGGAGGATCCCACATGCCGCGGAGCAAATAGGCCCGTGAGCCACAACTACTGAGCCTGCGCGTCTGGAGCCTGTGCTCCGCAACGAGAGGCCGCGACAGTGAGAGGCCCGCGCACCGCGATGAAGAGTGGTCCCCGCTTGCCACAGCTAGAGAAAGCCCTCGCACAGAAACGAAGACCCAACACAGCCAAAATTAAATAAATTAATTTTAAAAAACCTCACTTAAAAAAAAAAATACAAGCTGGTATTTTTATTCACTTTATTGTTTTTGCTGTCAGCCGACTCAGCACCCAGACCTGACAGGGAACCCATGACCAACAGCTCCACGCCGATTTACCTCCTGAAATTCAGGCACACAGCCTCTCCAAGCAACGCAAGTTCCTGCAGATTCCCTCCAAAAAATCTCATCTGCCCAGGGCCCTTGCTGGGCAAGTTTCTCCCCTTTCCCAACATAGACAGATGAGCTGTTTGCTTTTCAGCCCGTACCCCCTTCAACACCCAGCCTGATCCTTCCCGTGAAGCAGAACCGGACAACGGAGCAGGCAGCAAATGTCTGAGTCCCGCATGTGACCGGGGAAGCACTGCCAGGGCGGCGGGGACAGAGCCACGGCCCCTGGAGATCCCAGGGGCATCCCCCAGTCACCTCCTTTACTCCTGGAGGGGTGTCATCACCCCCCGTTCTTAGCAGATCCTCCAAACCACCGTGCCCCCTGCCCGGGGGGACGGCAGCCCAGCGGGACTGCACTGAACGTCCCAGGTCCTTGTCGGGACAGGAGGGAAAGTACAGCTGAACATGCCTCGAGAGGGAGGTTCTCAGCGTGGCCTGAAAGCCCGGTGGGGCGGGCAGCGGCCGCCTGTGTTCTCACATGCCCTGCGGGGGGATCCCCAGCAAACGTGGGAGCAAGGCTGCTCTAGCAAAGCCTCACGTGCTGCTTCAGTTAATGAGTAAGAGCAACGGCGGAGCCTGGTTCTCTTCCCTCCGTAGCTGCAGCAACCTTACACCTCTTGAGCATCAAAGCCTGGACTAAAGGCCAGGAAGGAGGCGGTATCGCAGGATGGGATGTGTGGTCCTGCCTGGGACACAGGGAAGAGAACAGAGAAAGGCGGGGGAGGGGTGACAGATGGCTGGTGCCAGAGGTGGAGGAGAAAGCTGTGGATTAGAGACCTGCGGAGACTGACGAGCTGGTGGGACGCTTAGGGGTCCAGCAGGGCGGGAGCTGAGAGAGAAGAAAAGCCGGGTGGGCGGGAGGCGGAGATGAGACGGGCTGGGGGAGGGGGAGGACGGGGCAGGCGGCAGGGGTCTTGCAGCTTCCCTTCACCATTTGGTTCTCGACTGCCCAAGAGACCCTGTCTCCGGCTGGTCCCACCCCAAACCTCCCATCCCCCGCGCAGTGGTTCCCAGCTCTGACTGTCCCTTATGATCTCGTAGAGCTCTGACAGTACAGATGCCCGGCCCCACCCCAGAGACTCGGAGGACGTGAGGCTGGGCGTGGAATCCGGCTTCAGTATGTCTTACCTGTTCCCAGGTACTTGGGTGTGCGGTCAGGGACTGAGACCCCCTGCCTTGAGCCTCCACTTATAGATTCAGACTTCTCGTATGAGCTTCCACTCAGCAGACTGGAGACCTCAGAGGTTGGTTTGTCTTTAATCTGCGCACTCTGAAGACGCCCCATTGGGGTGTTGGGCTTGCCGTGGTCCAGGGGCCACAGCATCTACAAGGAAGCGTAGTCTCCATCAACCAGAGACCCTGGTTTGGGGCATTTGGGATCGGGTCTTGGTGAAGCAGAGACACACAGAGTGTGGGAGATGTTTCCAAGATGCTGAATCTGCTTTGTCCCCTGCGGTGGTCCGTCCGAAGGTGAGTGAAGGAGCCCCTCCCTCATTAACCTGTGAGCCCGCCCCTCACCCCTTCGGGCGAAACCGAGAGCACAAACTGGATGGCCCCCGAACAGCTTCTGAGCTGAGACCCTGACTTCCACAAGGATCCCTCGTGTTCTCTTTCTTGGTAAACGTATTGAGACAAAACTAAGATGACATTTTAAAATCCTCTGAAAAAGCTCAAATCTTGATGACTTGAAACATACATTCCAGTTATCAATTCTAAGTAATTCTGAGGTTCCACTGGTTCCTCACTGCCTTGTAAACCACAACCTTGCTAATCAGAGTTAACAGACAGAGTATCTAGAAAGCCAGGCACTGTTTAGGGAACCTCACATGGCTTAATTCAGTTCACCGTGGCAATGACACTACGGTGCAGGTGTTACTCTTGTGCCCATTTTACAGATGGGGTAAGTGAGGCACAGAGCTCGGATGTGAACCCAGGCGGTCTGGCCCCACAGGTGGGCAGGACTGGGAAGGAAGGATGGCATTACTGGCTTGCAAGATGAAACTCTGTTATTTAGGAGAATTTCTGAGATGCAGCCCCAGCCTGCCCTGCTGCTCTCTGTGAGTCTGTGAGTTGCTTTTCCTTTCGGAGGCCCCAGTTTTCTCTCCCATAAAGCAGGAGTTGTGCTGCCCCCGCCCCCTCCCACCATCAAAGACGACAGGAGCACTGACCCTCTCCTCCATCCTTTCCAGGGCCTGGGCCCCGAGCTTCCGGTTTGTGAGGAGCTGGGGTCTGTTCTCGAGGAAGAGAAGAACCTTTTTCTCGAGGAAGAGAAGAACCTTTTCTGGAAATACAAGCCGATCTTTGCTGGGACAAACCTTGGGGCTGAGACGAAAGGAAAGTAGGGCAGGCTTGGAAAAGAAGCAGGACTCCCAGCCGGCGCAGGGACCCTCTGACATCCTGACTCTGGGATGCAGAGGACTCTCAGCTCTGGTTTCTCTGCAGGACGGCAGCAGGACACGCTGTCCCCTCCCTCCACAGAGACCTGGGGGATGTGGGGGGATAAGACGTCTCAGTGACTTTCCACAGGGGCTGTACTTTCTGCAGAGCCAAGCTCCCAGCAGCCTTGGTGTCCAGGGGCTGGGCCCCACCTCTCGGTGGGTCCAGAGGAGGTCATTTGGGACCACCTCCAGCCACACACACACACCCTTTGAGTCCCACCAATCTGCCAATTCCAGCTCCGGGAGGATTACACAAGGCAATGCTCCACGCTCGTGAAAGACCAGCCAGGAGCCTTCCAGTACCTTCCAGAGTCATCACGACAAACAGCCAACAGCACAGGTGGGGCTCTTGCTCATAAACATCTCATCCTCACACCAACCAGAGGAGGTTAGGTAACACTGTGAGCCCACTTTTCAGATGCAAACACCGAGGCACTGAATGGTTATGAAATTTAACTAAGGTCACACTTGGAGCTG